GCCTTGGCCTCCCAAAGTGCTGGGATTACAGGCATGAGCCACTGCACCCCACATCAGATATCTTAAGAGCAGGAATTGGCAGCGGTGTGGAAGCCAGGGATGCACGTGGAGGCTGTGAAGCCTGCAGATGGGGGTGCACTGTGCACCTTGAGCGTCAGGATCCTGTCATGGTGCAGATCTGACAAGTGGCCTGGCTATTCAGCAAATGACCTGGAAGGCTCCACCCAGTGTCACAGCCAGGCATTCTGAGCTCCAAGGGTAAAGAGATACAGAGACATGTGGGGAAGGCAAAGAGCCAGCTGCTGGGTGTTCATTCTGCCTCCAAACCTCACCCCAAATCCTGCCTGTGGGTTTGGTATCATCTGGACCTTGGGCTGTGTTGTATCAGGTAATAAATATAGCCCTATTTTTTCCAGAGATGTAAATGTAATGGGTGTTGGATGTGCTCTGTGCAGTTTACATAATCACCTCCTATTTGCCCCCAACAATCCCCTCAAAAAGTTATTGTATCATTGGGTAACAAGAGTCTAGTCTTACTTGCCTTGTAGTGTAGCCCTCTTGGCTCACTGCAGGGAGGAAGGGGGCAGGGGGAGAGTACAGTACGAAGGATAGCAGACAGAGGAAAGGACCCGGCCACACCACAGCATGCAGCAGAAAGAATCATGGAAGCTGCCTCTTGGGGCCCTCCCTCCTGGGTGAAGATCCCACAGCCTCAGATGGGCCCCAGCCTGTGCCTGCAGGCCTCCTGCTGTGAAGCCTGTAGGACCCACACCCCACCCTGTAGGCATTGCTCCCAGACTCCTGTGACTGGATGTCAGGGATGTGAAGTGGAGTCACCTGCTTGCAGCCTTCTAGCAAGTGTTCATACTGAGGGGTGGCAGGTGAGAAAGCCATCTAGATCAGCTGTGGAAACTAAGGCATAAGAGACTAACACTGTCAGACTCCAGTGAGGATCCATTGTACTTTGCAATAGTAGGTCACTGGGGTATCCATTAGGAAGATTTCGGAGCAGCCAGTGGCTTGGCTTGTTAAGGGATGTGGGTGAGCTGGTTTGAAGGCTGCTGCTCTACTCGGCCCCAGAACACCTTAACAGAAGCTGGCTGGGCCACTTTTCTCCAAGAAGCTGCTTCTGCAGTACAGTCCTGGCCTTAGAGGGGCATGGAACAGCTTCAGCTCCCCATTCAAGAGGGAACTCCTGCTGCACGCCTGGGGAGTCTGGAGGACAAACCTTTGGAATGTGTCCCACTTTCCGGCTCATGCCCTGCTCAGGCCCCTGGTGCTGGCCGCCGGGCTTGGCTTCCCCATCTTGGATTCAGTGTCTCTCTCCACCTGCCTTGCCAATGACAGAGTGAACATCCTAAAGCCCAGCACTGTCCTTGCGGCTGTGCCCAGAACCCACCACGTCCTCCTTTGACCAAGGGCACTCAGGCTTTCCCAGTCTGTTCTAATCCCATCCATACATTTCCCCAGAGAACAGCCAGCGCCTAATACCTGATGGGAACACACACCCACTGCCAGGCTGAACAGGGGCCAGGTACTCTGGTCTGTTCTGCTGTTGTCCCCACAAACTTTATTTTGCATTTCCTCATCACCACTGCCAAACCCCCAAACTCTCCATTCCATATTCTTAGGTAACCATAAACTGCAATCTTCTCTAGGCAGTTCTGATAGAATTGCTAATAGCATCGGTTATTCACAAAAATGTCTGTTTAGACAACATTCTCTGGGCATTCTACAGACACATCCCGGATCCCTGGCCCCCTTCAGGCCTGTGTGCAAAGGGGAGCCCTGCTCTGTGTCCTATGCCACTCCCAAGGCCCAGCAAAGAGCCTTCCCTGGAATATCTTCAGCCCACAGCCACGATTCCTCCCATTGCTAACCCCCAGGGTGCTGTGTGACAGGGCAATGGGGTGAGAGCACATGGTTGCTTGTTCTTTGAAGTGCATATAAAAGACTGTGTAAGACCATAGAGTGTCTTTCTGGGTGCTCACCCTATTTTCCAAGAACATCATCAAAAACAGTTGTCTGTGGCCACTCAGCCAGGCCAGGAAGCCCCAGGTCCTAACCAGGGCCTTCAGCTGAGGGCAGGGAGGGCTTCACAGATCAGGCCCTTCCTAGTCTGCAAGACTAGACAATATCACAGAGCTGGGGCAGTGGCCCACCCCATATAAAGGTTTGCTATTATAATTATGATAATTAGTTATTGTTATTACTATCTGTATTCTGATTAGGGCAATTTACACATGGTCCCGTCCCCTGGCAACTGTCAGATTAATTGTCATCAGAAGTACAGGGTTCTGTTTTGTTTTTTTCCCAATATATAAACAGAAACATAAGGTGTGGCTGCTTCTTCTTTGCATGTGGCTACTCCTCACCAAGCACCCACTCCTTGCCAATCTCTGTCATGCCAGGCCCTCAGCTTCCTCTCTAGTCCTCACAGTGACCCCACCAGGTAAGCACCATTGTTTCCACTTGATAGATGAGAAACCTGAGGTTCAGGGAAGTGAAGGAACTGGCCCCTTTCCAAACTCTAGAAGGAGGTAGAGTTGAGATATGATCCCAGATCCATCTGACCCCAAAGCCTGCACCACATGTATGAGAACTTCTTGGGTACAAATATGGGACTGCCACACAGGTGCTTCCTTTTGGGTCTGTGTTTTTCAAATGCTTACACAGAAATAAATGCCAAGTCAACAGTTACTTTTGTCTTCAGTGAAGGCCCTGCCATGCTGTCATGTGGCTTCATTGGTTGTGGTTACAAGGCATGTGCTTCGCTCAAACACCCCTGTGCTTTCTAGAGAAGTGGCTTGCCATCTAAGTGAGAGGTGGGCTGGGACTATCTTCATTGTCTCCAGAGCTGGATGACCAAGTGAGGTGAATGCCTCTTCCAAGCCTTGATTCTTTTGCACTTGAAGAAGCACATTGGAATTACTAGAAAACCATGGCCATCAGGGCTCTGACATTTGGATTCCTGGTTCTCCAGACAGTGAAACGTGTGCGACTTCCAAAAATGAGAAGACTTGCCATGTTCAAGGTTCTGTTTTAGAGAATACTGATAAGACTTAGCAACTACCCTCCAGGAAATTCATTCCATTTGAGGTAGCAGAGATATTGCAGTCCGGTCCAGCATTCCAGGATTCCAGAAGGCACCTGAGTGCAGAACCAGCTTATCCAGAGCATACATACACATAGAGTGTGATCACTTTTCTTTCACCATATTTTCTGTCTCTTCAATTTCTCATGTATCCATCCATCCACCCACCCACTCATCTATCCATTTGTCCATCATCCTTTTATTTATCTATCCTGATTATTCATCCACCCACCCATCCACCCATCCATCCATCCATCCATCCATCCATCCATCCATCCATCCATCCATTCTTTGATGCGTGGATGGATGGATGCATCCATTCATCCATCAGTCCTATCTGTCCATCCATCCATTCTTCCATCCATCCATCCATTTATTACAACCAAGCATATTCAAAACTTTTGTTCCTATTCTTTCCTTGACCTGAAATTCTTTTTTCCAGAGGTCCACATGGTCCATCTCTTCTTCTTTCCTGAATGTGCTGAGGTTTCCCTTTCCTAGCAAGTCCTTTCCTTAGCACCCTATAGAATAACAGCAGCTCTCCCAGTGTTCCTGTCTATTTTCCTTCTTCTACTTTAGTTTTTTAATACCATTTGTTGAGGCAGCTGTTTTATACTATATATGATAAGACAGCTGTTTATATTTTACATATATATGACAGCTGCTTTATATTTTACATATATATCCATGACCACCTCATATAAAAAGAGCAACTCTCCCATTGTACCTCTCTATCCTCCTTATTCTACTTTAGTTTTTTAATATCATTTGTTGAGATACTCTATATTATTTTGTTTATAGGAGGATAGAGGATTTGTCAGCTTCATTATAATTTTATTATATCCTACCCTAAAACAGTCCTAGTTCTAAAATAAGTACTCAATGTGTATTTATTGAAAATTGAGTCAATGAAGGAATTAATGTTATAACTAAGTATGTGCTATCTTTAAGAATCACCCTTTTGGAAGATTATATACTTAATTCCAATGGTGCCATTCGTAACTTTTTAAAATTAATAATTACTTGTGTTTAGCACCAACACATGCTAAGCATGTATGCATTTTATTTCTAACTCATGATACGCTGCAGGAGGGCAATGTGTTCCCACTGTTAAGATGGAGAATCCGGGGCTCCCCAAAGTGACATAGCTCATGGATGGCCAGCCCAGGCTTCTGACTCAGTCCATCTGCAGCCAGCCCCCTTCCCTACTCAACACGGACTCTCAGTCATCTCAGACTTCCTTTCACAGAAGCCTCTCATACCTGTTTTAAGAGATGCACACAGAGCCTAGCCCCATCACCCTGTGGCCATACCCAGCCCTTTGCCATGTCCATCTGACATGTTTGTTTACCGCCTTGTCTGATTTGGCACCAGATTATTTTGACTGCTTCCCAAACCCCATCAAAACGTATAATTGTGCCTGAAAACAAGACCTAATGTGCTGCTGAGGGCAATGCCAAAGGGGCTGGTCTCCACAGTTCATTATCCCAAAGTTTAAATTCCCAAAGGAAAAATTTAGAAAAACCATCCAATTAGAAATGTCCCATTATTTATGAACAGTAACAATAAATAGATAAAACTTCAACAAAACCAAGAAGGTAGAACTGAGGACACAAGATTTATCACAATTTCAGAGGGTAATGATAGTTGCAAGTCAAGGAAATAAAGGGGGATATGTATGAAATTGATGATAGAGCCTGGAAAGACACATCCAGCAAGCAGAATAAAAGATATCCAAGAAAAATTTGAAACTCACTAGTAAGAGAATGAATAACCACAGTGTAGATATAAATTTGATGTTACTGGATATTAATATCTAAAAGTAAAAAAGCAGCATTTAAAAATGTAAAGTAGAAGGGCAGCATTCAAAAGAGTACATACAAAATAAAAAATTACGTTAAAATACCTGGAGAGAAGCATATGTGGCCAGGAGTGGTGGCTCACACCTGACATCCTCGTGCTTTGAAAGGCTGAGGCAGAAGGATCGCTTGAGGTCAGGAGTTCGAGACTAACCTAGGCAACACAGCATGACCTTGTTTCAAAAACTAATACTAACAAAAAAATTAAGCAAGCTGGCACATGCCTAGAGTCCCAGCGACTTAGGAGGCTGAGATACTGAATATATCCATCTCCTCCATTTTTCTTTTATCCTTTGGTATTCTTTCTTTCCCACTCCTCTTTTCATTCCAAATTAACTAACCACCACTGTTCACCTTTTTGTCACTATAGATGAGTTTGAATTGCATATATAATTGTATATAAGTAGAATCATTAAAGTAAGCATTATTTTTTGCCTGATTTCTTTTATGCCACTAAAATTATTTTGTGATTCATTCATGTTATTGCACTTACCTATAATGCATCTATTTTATTGTGATTTTCCTTGTAGCAGAAACCAGTTTAATACATGCTGTACATGCGCCGTGTGAAACAGGCCTACCACCCACAGCCAGGAAACCCTAGGGCAGAGCACCCTGCAGCCCATGTCCAGCTCTTGGGCACTCGGGAAGGGAAGAGCAAAGTGCATCAAGTTCATAAACAGAATAAAACAGGCTTAGGTGAGCCCAGGCCAGCAAGCCTCCAGCCAGTGTTTGTCTGCAGTGGCTGCTGGGCTCACAAACCCTCCTCAGTGTGGGCCAGACCTGTGGTGACGCCAGCCAGGTCCCCAGCCTTGAGCAGCTTGAGATAGGTGAGGGATAGACATAGTGGAGGTTGAGCCAGTCTGACAGCAGCTCAGAGAGGAGAAGCACCTGCTGCCATCTTCCTGGGGCCTGCTGCTGCCGGCACCTGTCCACCATCCCAGCACAGGCCACCTTCTCACTGAGTGCCCCCTTGCACTCAGACACAAAGATGCCATGCAGTGCCCAGGCCAGTCTGGCAGCCACTGCAGCCTGGCTTGTACTCCAGGCACCACGTCACCTGCACCAGCTGCTTCTGTCTCAGACTGCTCAGGCAGGTCCTGGGACACACACTGCAGGGAGCTGGAAGGGATAGAGGGTGGGGTAGCTGGCAGTGCTAGCCTGGGGGACGCTGGGCTGGGGGACCTGGGGCTGCTGGGCTGCGCTGACCACAGGGCTGCTGGAGTCAAGGCATTCACCCTCCTGAGCGACATCAGGCTGAGGGCCCAGGCTGAAACCTCTCACGTGGTGGTGAGCTGCCCGGTGGTGGGCAGCTGGCTCGATGTCCAGCACCTCATCCACGTGGAAGTGTGAGTACCAGAGGCTCAGAGAGTTCATGGGCACCGCCTGGAGGGCTCAGTGAGGCCAGGAAGGCCTCGTGGTGCTCCTTGACTCACCCCACCATCTCCTGGCTGAAGAGAGAAGCAGGAGGCCTGAGCTGAAGGCTGCTCCTCTGGGATGCTGGTTCAGCCCTGGGGCTTGACGGTGTGCTGGGAACCTGGGAAGCGGATCCCGAGACACAGTCCTTGACGGTGGGCAACCTCCACGGTTCTGAGTTGGCTACGTTGCGCTCCCCAAAGCGCTTGAGCATCATATCCTGGACACCCTGAGTGACCCTGGTGAAGGTCGTCATCTTGCAGCCATTGTGGCGTGTGCCCACGAGGGTGTCCACGCTGTGGAATATCCTGGCGGCAGCAGCCTTGGAGGGCCGGGCGGGGCGTGAAAGCACTGGGAAGCGGGCACCTTCTCACCCCGTGGCGCCGCTGGGCCCCACGGCTTGTCTGCTTCCCGCGCGTAGGGCTCTCCAACATTCTGGGCAACGGGTCCACTGCCCGCACGCGTGAGCTCAGACAGGTGAACTTTCAGGCTCCTTGTCTGGCTGGGTTGCCAGGCGGGGCAACTGATCTGTTGAGGCGTGGCTTTCTTCATCTTCTCGCCTACAGGACAGCGGCTGGAAACTGCAGCTGCCCACTGCCGCAGCCTCCTGCACCTGTCATCCTGGTGGCGCCCTGGCGGCGGACAAGCAGTGGGCATGGCTGCAGCCACGTGTCTTGGCACAGGCGGCAGTGGAAGGCGGTCTCCTTTCGAGGCTCCCATGGCGGCCAGCACCGCCCACACGCACCCTATCCCGTTGACATTGTTTTCCCTGGAGGCGACTGGACAGGAGCGAGGCTCCAGGTTGTCGGCCCCACGGAGACGCGCATGCAGGGCTCAGGATCCGCACTCTGGCGCTGCGGCACCGCGCCTTTCAGCAGCAGCTGGAACTCCTGCAGCAGCGTCCCGGGGTGGGATGCTGGGGCCCGGGTCCTGGCGGGCCGCTTCTTTTCTTGGCCCCTGCTCCTCTTCTCGTTGTTGAATCTTTGTCACTCTGCCAGGAAAAACATCCCTGATGTCGACACTGCTAGCGCGCTCAGCCGGGCTTAGGGAGAGGCAGTTCCTCCCAGGGCCCGGCGAGGGGCAGCAAGCCTATAGAGAGGAGGAGTTAGGGGCTCTGCAGGCAGATGGCCGGGACCCTGCGAGGGACGGGTCAGTCTGGGCTCCAAGCTCAGCCTTTCAAGATTTCCCCGGACCCACGGCCTATAATGCACATGAGTCCTATGCCTTGTGCACCTCACGGTCACCACCGCTGACCTGCTCCCTCTCGTGTTGCAGCAGAGGGTGTGTAGGGGAGAGAGGGCGCAGAGAGAGAAAAGCCCAGGGAGGGTGAACATCTTTTCATAAGCTTTTTCCCATCTGTATGCCGTCTCTGATGGGAGCCTCTTTTGGTCTTTTGTCCATTTACTAATGGGGATGGTTGATATCTTATTATTGTTTTGTAAGTGGTTTTTAATGGTCTGGATGCAAGACTGGTGTTTTGGAAATATTTTCTCCCTGTCTGTGTCTCGTTTCTCCATTCTTTTAATATTTCCTTTCCCAAAGCGAAAGATTTTATTATAACAAAGTCACACCAATATCTTCTTTCATGGTAGAAATTTGTCTTTTATGTTCTTTTTTTTTTTTAATTTTTTATTGGATTATAGGTTTTGGGGTACATGAGCAGAGCATGCAAGACAGTTGTGTAGGTACACACATGGCAGTGTGCTTTCTTTTCTTCTCCCCTTCACCCACATTTGGCATTTCTCCCCAGGCTATCCCTCCCCACCTCCCCCTCCTACTGGCCCTCCCCCTTTCCCCCCAATAGACCCCAGTGTTTAGTACTCCCCTTTCTGTGTCCATGTGTTCTCATTTTTCATCACCCACCTATGAGTGAGAATATGCGGTGTTTCATTTTCTGTTCTTGTGTCAGTTTGCTGAGGATGATGTTCTCCAGATTCATCCATGTCCCTACAAACGACACAAACTCATCATTTCTGATTGCTGCATAATATTCCATGGTGTATATGTGCCACATTTTTCCAATCCAGTCTATTATCAATGGGCATTTGGGTTGATTCCAGGTCTTTGCTATTGTAAACAGTGCTGCAATGAACATTCGTGTACATGTGTCCTTATGGTAGAACGATTTATAGTCTTTTGGATATATACCCAGTAATGGGATTGCTGGGTCAAATGGAATTTCTATTTCTAAGGCCTTGAGGAATCGCCACACCGTCTTCCACAATGGTTGAACTAATTTACACTCCCACCAACAGTGTAAAAGTGTTCCTTTTTCTCCACATCCTCTCCAGCATCTGTTGTCTCCAGATTTTTTAATGATCGCCATTCTAACTGGCGTGAGATGGTATCTCAATGTGGTTTTGATTTGCATCCCTCTGATGATCAGTGATGATGAGCATTTTTTCATATGATTGTTGGCCTCATATATGTCTTCTTTCGTAAAGTATCTGTTCATATCCTTTGCCCACTTTTGAATGGGCTTGTTTGTTTTTTTCCTGTAAATCTGTTTGAGTTCTTTGTAAATTCTGGATATCAGCCCTTTGTCAGATGGGTAGACTGCAAAAATTTTTTCCCATTCGGTTGGTTGCCGATCCACTCTAGTGACTGTTTCTTTTGCCGTGCAGAAGCTGTGGAGTTTCATTAGGTCCCATTTGTCTATTTTGGCTTTTGTTGCCAATGCTTTTGGTGTTTTGTTCATGAAGTCCTTGCCTACTCCTATGTCCTGGATAGTTTTGCCTAGATTTTCTTCTAGGGTTTTTATGGTGCCAGGTCTTATGTTTAAGTCTTTAATCCATCTGGAGTTAATTTTAGTGTAAGGTGTCAGGAAGGGGTCCAGTTTCTGCTTTCTGCACATGGCTAGCCAGTTTTCCCAACACCATTTGTTAAACATGGAATCCTTTCCCCATTGCTTGTTTTTGTCAGGTTTATCAAAGATTGTATAGTTGTATGTATGTTGTGTTGCCTCCGGTGCCTCTGTTCTGTTCCATTGGTCTATATCTCTGTTTTGGTACCAGTACCATGCTGTTTTGATTACTGTAGCCTTGTAGTATAGTTTGAAATCCAGTAGTGTGATGCCCCCTGCTGTGTTCTTTTTGCTTAGAATTGACTTGGCTATGCGGGCTCTCTTTTGGTTCCATATGAAGTTCATGGTGGTTTTTTCCAGTTCTGTGAAGAAAGTCGATGGTAGCTTGATGGGGATAGCGTTGATTCTGTAAATTACTTTGGGCAGTATAGCCATTTTCACGATATTAATTCTTCCTAACCATGAACATGGAATGTTTCTCCATCTGTTTGTGTCCTCTCTGATTTCGTTGAGCAGTGGTTTGTAGTTCTCCTTGAAGAGGTCTCTTACGTTCCTTGTGAGTTGTATTCCAAGGTATTTTATTCTTTTTGTAGCAATGGCGAATGGCAGTTCGCTCTTGATTTGGCTTTCTTTAAGTCTGTTATTGGTGTAGACGAATGCTTGTGATTTTTGCACATTGATTTTATATCCTGAGACTTTGCTGAAGTTGCTTATCAGTTTCAGGTGTTTTTGGGCTGAGGCAATGGGGTCTTCTAGGTATACTATCATGTCGTCTGCAAATAGAGACAATTTGGCTTCCACCTTTCCTATTTGAATACCCTTTATTTCTTTTTCTTGCCTGATTGCTCTGGCTAGAACTTCCAGTACTATATTGAATAGGAGTGGTGAAAGAGGGCATCCTTGTCTAGTGCCAGATTTCAAAGGGAATGCTTCCAGTTTTTGCCCATTCAGTATGATATTGGCTGTTGGTTTGTCATAAATAGCTTTTATTACTTTGAGATACGTTCCATCGATACCGAGTTTTTTGAGGGTTTTTAGCATAAAGGGCTGTTGAATTTTGTCAAATGCCTTCTCTGCATCAATTGAGATAATCATGTGGTTTTTGTTTTTGGTTCTGTTTATGTGGTGAATTACGTTGATAGACTTGCGTATGTTGAACCAGCCTTGCATCCCCGGGATGAATCCTACTTGATCATGATGAATAAGTTTTTTGATTTGCTCTTGCAATTGGCTTGCCAATATTTTATTGAAGATTTTTGCATCTATGTTCATCATGGATATTGGCCTGAAGTTTTCTTTTCTCGTTGGGTCTCTGCCGGGTTTTGGTATCAGGATGATGTTGGTCTCATAAAATGATTTGGGAAGGATTCCCTCTTTTTGGATTGTTTGAAATAGTTTTAGAAGAAATGGTGCCAGCTCTTCCTTGTGTGTCTGGTAGAATTCGGCTGTGAACCCGTCTGGACCTGGGCTTTTTTGTGTGGTAGGCTCTTAATTGCTGCCTCAACTTCAGACCTTGTTATTGGTTTATTCATAGTTTCAGCTTCCTCCTGGTTTAGGCTTGGGAGGACACAGGAATCCAGGAATTTGTCCATTTCTTCCAGGTTTACAAGTTTATGCACATAGGGTTGTTTGTAATATTCTCTGATGATGGTTTGAATTTCTGTGGAATCTGTGGTGATTTCCCCTTTATCATTTTTTATTGCATCTATTTGGTTGTTCTCTCTTTTATTTTTAATCAATCTGGCTAGTGGTCTGTCTATTTTGTTGATCTTTTCAAAAAACCAGCTCTTGGATTTATTGATTTTTTTGAAGGGTTTTTCGTGTCTCAATCTCCTTCAGCTCAGCTCTGATCTTAGTTATTTCTTGTCTTCTGCTGGGTTTTGAATTTTTTTGATCTTGCTCCTCTAGCTCTTTCAATTTTGACGATAGGGTGTCAATTTTGGATCTCTCCATTCTCCTCATATGGGCACTTATTGCTATATACTTTCCTCTAGAGACTGCTTTAAATGTGTCCCAGAGGTTCTGGCATGTTGTGTCTTCGTTCTCATTGGTTTCGAAGAACTTCTTTATTTCTGCCTTCATTTCATTGTTTACCCCATCAACATTCAAGAGCCAGTTGTTCAGTTTCCATGAAGCTGTGCGGTTCTGGGTCTGTTTCTGAATTCTCAGTTCTAACTTGATTGCACTATGGTCTGAGAGGCTGTTTGTTATGATTTCAGTTGTTTTGCATTTGTTGAGCAGTGCTTTACTTCCAATTATGTGGTCAATTTTAGAGTAGGTGTGATGTGGTGCTGCGAAGAATGTGTATTCTGTGGATTTGGGGTGGAGAGTTCTGTAAATGTCCACCAGGTTTGCTTGCTCCAGGTCTGAGTTCAAGCCCTGGATATCCTTGCTGATTTTTTGTCTGGTAGATCTGTCTAGTATTGA